AAAAAAATGTTACAAAGTGGTATCCATTATTAGAATGTCAATCTGGGTCGTTTGGGACCGAATGTAGGGGGAAATGTTCTACAACCTGTAAAAATGGTGTCTGTAGTTATACAAATGGCTATTGTATTGGTGGATGCGAGGCTGGCTATCAAGGCTCAATGTGTGAAAGCCGTAAGTTTTTAAAATTGTTTGATTACGTAGATTGTATAGTATTGTACGATAAGTATAAATAACTTTACATTATACGCTTTGTACCAATCTCCTACGCAGTGATCTCCCCTTATCAGTACAGAGATCTCTGCCATCACAAACATTGAAATATCCAAATTTGGATATTTATATTTTTAAGCTTTTTAACTTATTTTTCAGTATTTTGTGTACTTTTGATAATTTTTTGTTAAAATATAACGGACGTAGGTACAAAAAGTTAAAAATAAAACAGAAAGAGAAAAATGACGTTAGATTTTCTATGTAACGGTCGATATTTACATTTGAATTTCGACGTTACGTCATGTGACTTTCATCATCATGTGACGTCTGTGAAGGCAGTGATTACAATTATGCCAAGGGAGGTAATCAGTGTGAGGAGTTTGGCTTTGTACATGTACGACTTCATTTAAATATTTTCGTTTTAAATTGCAATATGTAATATATTGCTTTGACAATAGTGCGTATTACTTTAATAATTACAGTAATTGCTTATCCGTATAAACGATATCCACAATGAATGTACGATTCCACATGGAAATTCTGTTTGAAAATTCAATCTTTCAAATGTTTTCTGATAAAAGTATGTATCGTTTAGTGGTTATCATTCTGATGTTTCTGTAACTGAAAATTTGTATTAATATACTGTGCTTATATAATTGTATTTATTCTTCTTTTTTTGCATGACCGCATATTTATTTCAGTAATTTGATGTTGTTTTTTTTTCTTCTTTTTTTTCTTTTTATTTCTTTCCCTTACATAACACTGATACTTCTGTTAATAACATTAATGTTATTAGATGCGAAATAGCTACGCAATCGATTTTTCTTCGTAAAATTGCTTTCCTTAGTTTTGTTTTTCAATACTTTACGGGGACACAGTATTCGAGCGTGTCGTCTCTGTTTGACAATTCTTGTTTTTCTATTGACGTATGCATTAAAAAGGGAGCTGAATTCCAATCAAATATCGTTACAAACTTTTTTATTATAACTTTTTTATACTTTATAGAATGGATACCATGGACCTGTAAATCCATTTTGTTATATATTCTATGAGTGTTGTTATTGATAGCTGCTTATTGTTTCTTCCTTCTATGATGTTACTTTTTGTTGACAATCAATGAAAATCAATGAAATGTAACAAAGTGGTAATCTTTTATCAGCATGTCGTTCTGGATCGTTTGGGGCACAATGTAGGAAGACATGTTCTACCACTTGCAAAAATGGTGCCTGTACTCATACAAATGGTTATTGTATTGGTGGATGCGAGGCTGGTTATCAAGGAGATATGTGTGAAAGAAGTAAGTCTTTAGAATTGTTTAGTTATATAATAAGCCAATTCTTACTTATAAAATATTATGAATTATTGACAAGTTCAAAAAGTATACCTGAATTGTTATCATCTTACCGATTCATATGCTTGAATGAGATGACATTGAACATTATATTGTCTGTTTATCAAAAGTATTATATATATTCCCTACATCATTAAACAAAGAAAATGAATAGATGAATTGTCCAACGACAGAAACAAACGTATTTATTTCTTGCGTATGTATCTGAAAATATATCATTTATTTCATGCATGTCTTCTAAGCATAATAATTTTATATGAAAAAATTACGTAAGGTATGTTAAGTGAAGCATTTAATTTAAAATGCGCTTCTCCTTTCAATTGCAAAAATAATATGTGTGATCATCCAATGGAATATATTTCGGCGGGTGCAAATCTTACTTGCGGAGAAAGTACGTCTATACACATGTCTTACAATTGTCCTTTTATCAATTTTATTTGGCAAGTCTGAGATAGATTGGAATGTGCTACGCCTTCTGATCACTTTTTATTATATTTCTTCGTAATTGAAAACGAAATGAAAATAATAAATAAATGTATAACATCTTAATTTAAGGCTTGCGAGGATATGAAATAGAAGACTGATGGTTAAATAATGAGAAACTTTGCTGTTGAAATAAGTCTATTGAATTTTGAGTGGCATATTTATGATATAAGGTTACGAACCTGATATATAGATAAACGCATGATACTGTCTCTTGATATCAATTTTACTTGGCGAGGCCTATATGGACGTTTCCCGAGCTCTTTCTGCCCATATCAGTTGAGCCTGATAACATTGATATCAAAAGATAGTAGGATGCCACTCTATTTATTATGTAACACCTAAAATCTGTGAGATTACAAACTAATCTTTTGAATAGCGAATTTGTAGAAAGTGTTACTTTTTGTTCAAAGAAATAATTCTTGAAAAGAAATTTACCCACCCCTGAATCCTTAAATTTGTAAATGCTGGCCATTCTTTCTTTCGACTTGATATTATTCCTTTTGATAATAGATAAAACATATTGTAATGAAATAAGAATCTTACCTTTAAACATCGATCAAAACATATCCGTATGAATCACACAATCTAATTGCACCTTTTTACTTTAAATGACATATTCAAAAGCTCACAAGAATTTTAGTACCTATCAAAGAAAAGCCAAATCGGCAATCATTGACAAGCTACTATTTTCTGAACGAAAAAATATTTTCTCACTTATTTTATAATAATCTGGCGGAACAAAGTACAAATTTTATAACAAGTTTTCCAAGTAAATCGTAGACCCCTTTTTAATGTTTATAATTTGACGTGAGCATCGATGATACCATTTGCTAAAATATTTATGCCGTCACTTCATAAAGCTAGTGTTTAACTGTTCGCTTTCTTAATTGTTTGTAATTGAAAATAAATATCACATCTTGATTCGCGATTTGTAAGGGTATGAATTGAGGAGTGATTTTTTTCCTTAATGCGCTTGTCTTATTTATTACTTGAATAGATTTTTCTCCGGCAATCAAGTTTGTCTTACTGTGTCATTGGCAGAGCTGCATTACTGGTACTGGTACTGGTACTGCAGTACGTACTGCAGCGATTTTGCAAGTACTGGTACTGATACTGAATTACTCTTACAAAATTTTGCTACTACTGGTACTGGTACTGCAGTACTGTCTTAAAAAGTGGTACTGCTACTGCATTACCCAGTACTTTTGGTTTTGATAAAAATTAAAAATAGCATCAATTTTTCTCATAAAATAAAGCTGTAAATTACATTAACTATATTATCAAATATAAAGATAATTTGCTGCAATATTCCCTCAAATGGTAACATAGTATTCATCATAAAAAGCACCAAAGACTTTAAGTAAAAATTAAATTAAGATAAACAGACTCAATAATTTAACTCTTTACCCTAAAATATCCTTATTGAAATATTTTATTACTTTGTATTTACTAGTAAAGTAGCAAAATAAACACTAATTAATTTCTTCTATTCTAAATAATCCCATTTCAAGTGAAAAAAAATGATATTGTTAGCACCATAAAAAGTTGTTATTTACTTTGGTATAAATTGAACAGAGGTGTGAAGGTGTGAAAGGCAACAAAAGACTGTTGTGTTTTAAATGAAAGATGTTTTCATTGTATTTACACAGTTGACTGGTTACTAAACAATTAGATATGACATGAATATATGTTGTAAATATTATTTGTAAAAAGTATGTTAAAAGTATAAAGTTGTAAATAAGTTATGTTATTTTTAAAGTAAATTATGATTTTATTTCTTTGCTGAATAATATTTGCAATCATTTGTTTGACACTGTATTTATTCAAACTTTGATGAATATATAAAAGTAATGGTACTGATACTTAATTACTTCACCAAAAGAAGTACTGGTACTGCAGTACCGAGCTAAAATCTAGTACTGGTACTGGTAATGGTACTGCATAATTTGCCAAGTACTGGTACTGGTACTTAAGTACTACACCCTTAGTACTGATGCAGCTCTGGTCATTGGTAAATCTCGCTGTAATTGAAATGTCAAATTTCGTTCTACTTTTATATGTTCATATTTGAAAGCGTTTTATTTTTGTAATTTCTGAAATTTTTCTATGGTTCTAACGGTTTTATATTTAAAAGCCTTTTTATAATAATCATAAAGAAAACTACAAGTGTAAATTAATCTATACACAAACAAACAGAATGTCGAGCTGGAAAGTTTGGTATACGATGTCAGGAGAACTGCCCATTAAATTGTAAGAATGGTATTTGCTATCATGACAACGGGGATTGTAGTAAAGGGTGTAATCCGGGCTATCGAGGAAATAAGTGTACAGAAAGTAAGCTTTCTTTTATCTTGTACTATTGTTATTTATAACAAATAAATTGTTGTAAAATATTTCTATTGTTACAATACGCGTTACATAATGCTGTATGATCTCGTGTTTTATCAACTATAATTATTCGATATCATCATTTATTGTAATAACACCAGTAAATTATTAATCCGTTGTTGCACTTACTTTAAACGTTTTCATAAATAGTTTTGAAACTCGTCTAAATATATGTGGTTTGCTGTAATAAAAGAAACGCTTTTAATTACAACTGTCTTTAATCAATTAAATTGCATTACGATTAAATTCTATCATTGAAAAATAGTCAATTAATTATAGAAGTGTATACATTTTACATTATTGTGATGATTCCTTCGACAATGTTTACTGATAAATTATGTTAAGGATGTCAAAGCGGTTACTATGGTGATAAATGCGCCAATCAATGCCATACTAATTGTAAAGAGGGGGACACAATATGTAGACATACAGATGGAGAATGTTTGAATGGTTGCCAGACAGGGTGGAATGGTAAAAGATGTGATTCAAGTAAGTAAATAGAATTATCAAATGTGGTTAATGTGTTTTTATATTGACTACAATATATTGTTTTTCTTAACTTTATTTTTTTATTAAACAAAAGTTCAAATTATTTCTGTTTTCTCATAGTCCTTACATCACTGCAGAACATTGTTCATATTCAGAATATTTAAATGTATTAGGAGCCTTAAAAAACTTAACTATTCTTAATGTTTATGGATCCTTAACAAACTTGATTTCTCTTTGTTGTTGCTTCCAAAGTTTCTCAGATGAAATGTCCTTTATTCACTATTTCCAGAAAATAAATCCTATTTATTTAAACATTATAAATTTCATCCGTCCCTTATGGCAAATCATTTTTGTCGAATCTTAAATAAAAATATCTCATATGTGTCATAGTTGTCAGAGTACTTGCACATTTTTGTGAGTACTTGCATAACTTATTCATATACAATTATATCTGAATAATGTAAACATTATATCGTATTATTAAACTAGAAATAAACTTGTGTTGTGCGTAGATGGCAGCCTGTGCAAATAAACTTTATGCGAGGCATTATGAAAAGCAATCGCTTCTTTTATATTGTCATTAATAGAATGTATGCTCGGAAAGTTTGGTCAAGGATGTGAAGAGAATTGCCCTTTAAATTGTTATGACAATGAATGTGACTTTATCAATGGCAATTGTGTTGAGGGTTGCAAGCCGGGTTTTCAAGGAAACAAGTGTAAAGAAAGTAAGTTGGTCGCCTTATTATTTTCTTGTCAACCAGCAGCATTGATTTCTATGCCTAATAAGTTAAGGGCTGAATATTGCGTAAGCCAGAGTTATAAGACAAAGGCGATTTTGCATTTTTTTCCTACAAATGGATGCAATCAAATGATTTTGCAATATTCACATCAAACGTTTTTTGCTAAACCGAGTACAAAGAGACAATGATGAGCTTTTGTAATGGGACTTTGTCTGACATCAGTTGTTCGCCGTTCAAAGTTATCCATAAGTTTCCTTAAACATTCCTTTTTAACCACGCAGGGGATTGGTGGATTTTGACTAAACATCATTAGACTGGTCATAAGTCAAAATGGACAAATGACCAGTCTAATGCAAAAGTAGTTCAAAGAAGTTTTTTTAATGAAATTCTTGCATATCTTCTCAGAAACGATTTCGGCCAGAGTTAAGATATTTTGCAAGTATCATCACCATGCAGTCCTCAACAAAAGTTTTAAAAATCATGCTATTTTGGCTCAGATTGTTTCTACCGTTTAGTAATTTAACTATTATGCAGTTTGGGAAAAGTGTCACACCCTAATGTAACTAAAGCACTTTCCAATTGTGACATTTTCTAGCAATTGCTTACAATCCAGGGCACATGTGTATCCTTACTTAGTCAGTGAGTAAAAAAGTAGATACCTGTACATTACATCAATATTCTGTTTCTCTCAGAGACGTATATGATATGTTTATTTTGATGAAAAAGAAATATGATTTTAATTGTATGACTTTTATACTAAAGATATGCAAAAGAATGCATTAAAGATGACAAAAGAAGTAAAATGTTGTTTGAATCTTGATTAGTTTGAATAAAGCGAGCTATACTTATTTTGATACTATTGTCCCCAATCTAAACATTTAGCAGGAACACAGAAATTAGTAATTGTGTTTTATAATGTTTTCCCCTTCCCCTTTAATCTAACATTAAGAACTGGTTACATCCCTAACTCCTGTATGTCCTGTTGGAAGGTCAAAGTAAGTTAGCTAGGCAAACACGTATTGCCATTTAAACTTTTAATCATGTTTTCACTGTGAAAAACAGTTCTGACTGTCAAACTTAAAATTTTGAATGAATTTAAAAACATTTCACTTTGTAAAACAGGTGCTAAAATGTTCACTCTTCTTCAACACATTTAAACGGAAATGAGATGATTGTACTTGACGGAGACAGTTTCAATTTATGACCACCAAGTATATTTTTTTCAGACCAGAATCCAACACATGTCAATTGTTAGAGTTTAAAGTAGTTGGTAACTTTTTTGTCAGATCAAGACCAACCTCAGAGGAAAACTGATATTTAATTGATCTAAGAGTGAATATTAAATCAGATAATATTCCGAGGAATCACGTATTTCCGGATTTTAATACATCATAATAGCAGGTGATAAGTGCCATATGGCAGCCGTAAATTATTTCCCCGTACTTCACTTTAGTGTTGCTACATTTTTTGGTCCTTTTGGGATAATTGATTCCAGCACAATAAGTGTTGAAGATTGAGTACCGCTCAGTGGGTGCTAGGGGCGTGAGGTATGTTGCACTTTTAATGATCCCTCATGCAAGACTCAATTAAACCGAGTCTGCAATATTCCTGTTATATTGCTGATGTTTGTGCTAACTTTCCAGACTTATGCTGAACCCCTGAACTGAAGTGATGTTTTAAATTGTATTTTAATTGAACGATTTCGAGATTAATTTAGCTTTTTTATTATTTGCTATTCATTATTTCCGATGTACCAGAATGAAATGTGTCAAAGAGTTGTATTAAAAATATTTATTTTAGGTACATTTGATATATCGTGTATCTTTAGTTTCTTTGTTTATTTTTTCTTGAAATTATTTTTGTTAAGCATATCTTTCAAAATGATATTTAGAATGTACGATCGGTACATTTGGGGACAAATGCGGCAATAATTGCAGTGGCAACTGTGTAGGTGGAGATATAATGTGCAGAAATATTGATGGACATTGTTTGAACGGTTGCAAGACAGGGTGGAATGGAACAAACTGTTTCTCAGGTTTCAAATTTCAAAATATTTTATATTATTAGAATTGACTAAATATACTTTTTTATCGTATAAAAGCATGAAATAACATGACATATAGTATTTATTCGTGTTCATCTGAAGAGAAAAATCTGGTATGATTAAACCGAGTCTGCAATATTCCTGTTATATTGCTGATGTTAGTTCTTTCGTAATGGAAGTCTTGTATTGCTCGAGTTGCAGCTTCACAGTCACACATATTCATTTCACTTCTTTTTTTTCTTCTTTTGTTTAGAATTTCTTTACATCCTTTACAAAATGTTTATGCTAAAATATTTTATATTATTGTGCTTTTCACACTTTATGATAAAGTAAAGTTTCTCCTCAATCACCTTGTGTGCCTGTAAGAAAACAACCAAGCACTATAAGTTCTATCGGTATAGCCCATCAGAATTGCACAGACGTTTTAATGATTATTTGTAATGTGGTGTTGTTTCATTTCTTTACACACATTATTCAAAAGTTTATAAGATGAAATTTATAATGTTACAAATTATATTCTAAGAATGTGACATTGGGTCTTACGGTAAAAACTGCTCATCAGTGTGTGGTAACTGCCAGCTTGGAAACAATTGTGACCACGTGACTGGTACTTGTCATGAAGGATGCAAAACGGGTTACAGCGGCGCCACCTGTTTACAAGGTAAATATCATTAATAGATGTTTATGTTGAAAGCAATGATTTGTTTAACAGCCAGCATAGTGAATACAATTTTCTTCTAGCAATTCAGCTCTAATCGTAGTATCACAGCTTTATTTTTCTTCCCAGACATGTTATACAATAATTCAAAATAATATTCTGTAAGAAATATATTTAAAACTTATTAATTTAAAGGATTACTAAATTGAACTAGAACAATATATATGTAAATTTAATCATCTACTCTAGAAACTTACTTGGTATTACAATGTACCGTGTAAGCGAATATATGTCAATATTTTTTAGTTAGGGGTATTTCAGTTGATACACAAATCTATTCATTTCCAGCAGTGCAATCGTCAAATAGTTCGGGTGTGATTGTGGGAGTAGTAGCGGTGTTTGCCATCATAATCATGATTTTGATAATTGCTTTTATTTTGTATAAGCGACACAGTCAGAATAAAAGGTATTATTATGTGCTTATAACTTGACCTGTACTTTATATATTCGTGAAACTACCGGTATTGACCAATTTAAGTGCGGAACAAACCACTTTGTCATATAAATTAAAACTTAAATATTTTCTGATATAGTATAAATAGGAGTACGTTAAACTTTGTTATTTGAGATATGGAAGTTTTCTCTTCTCTTATATATCTTGAAATGATTAGCTGTAACAAGAGTTGTAGACTGTGCATATGTTTAAAGAGCTCAGTTTTATGGAACATTACGTTCATTGAACGCCGCCTTTCCTTGTTGATCTTGTTTATCATATTTTATGGAGACTGTATAGTTGCAAAAATATGGAAAATCAGGACCTACATCGATTTATCAAGAAACTTGGACATTTTAGAAGGACGAGGTCGAACTATTGAGAGAAAGACAGACGTTATATAATACATTTTGATTATTATTTTTCATTACAGGAAAGATGAACAAAGTGTTGACGTGGAGCTCAGAGATGCTGTTACCACAGCTAATTCCCGAAGTCAAGGACTTAGATCTTACAAAGGAAGTAGGCATGCAAAGACAGGTAAAACTTTATTCAACGGTAGGCCTGTATATCAACATTTTGATTTTTAAATGAGCATGTGTTTAAGTAATTGTTTTGAAAACAAATATCAAATTTGAGTGCGTTGTTACAGAATATAGTCACGAAAATCGGTAGTACTTATTGATCAATTACAAATAATGTGCGATTTAATAGTACAGCACCAGATTTTGTTTTATTCTATGCTTATTGTAAACTGAATAACATTGAGCGCAAGAGTAATTTTACGGACGTCATTTTCTTAATTGACGTCAAAAACTTCTATGACAAGAAGGCATTCCTTTTAAATGCCGTGAGTATTTCGTATAATAAAGCACTCGATTGTCCTATATGTTTAACATGGGATATAAATCTTTAACAAAAGGAAAAAGATTTTGTTCAAAAAAAATGAACAAATACGTTATTCAAATAATCTGATTCTCATTCAAGCAGAGCGTTTCAACAGTGTCATTATTTAACGCGCATGGATTACTTGTATGCAAGAAAATAAAATTATAATGTATTCTTACAAATTTATAAAACATTTCAGTTAAGGAATTTTGCTAAGCTTTGTATTATATTGATATATACGGATCTTTGTTTTGTACTATCTCGGTTTATTAAGTATACTTGTCCGCGTTCATATTTTTATCTCTTTGTAAGGCCAATCTCCAGCATGTTTAGATTTTAGAATTTCCTTCCGATGTGTCAAGTGTTGCGTGGCAGCTATCAAAAGTCGTTTTCAACTTGAGTGGTTTCAGTATTGCTACTTGAATACGCAATAATCACCCTTGGGATATGTTGCCTGCTTTTATGCTGTCTTTTGACGTCTTGTCTGTGATATGCAGGCTTTATAACCTCAGATCTCCCTTCAAAATTCAATTTTATTTAGTTCCGTCCATTGTTTACTCGTTTAGGGCACACGCATTCTTTCATTTGAGGACCATACGCCGCTTTCCATGTGTCACATTGAAGGTTTTATGATAAACGCCGTATGAACACATCTGCGGATGTTTCCTAAATACAAAATTTCACAATTTTTGTGTTTTAATGCTGAGTTCTGCTGAAGCTGGTGCTAATGGGCGTAAGCATTAATTTGCACTAACCAGTACCGTCCTTGAACAGGTTAAATCAAACCGAGTGTTTACATAATTATGGTATAAAAAGGAATTATTTATATTAAGATTTGCAATGGTGTTAAACCAAGGCATTATTGCTGAATATACCAGTCTTTTAGCAAAGTAGGGTAATCTAATTTGAAATGCATTATCGTGCTGTCATAATATATGATATCTTTGATAACCAATATAGCATTATCTTTCAAATATTAACCCCATCATAAAAATAATAATATCTCTTTTGTAAGTACACACAGCTAAAGAAAAATAATACTAATGTAAGGATTTAAAATTTTGTGCTGCACTAAAACAAAAATCATAAATTTTGGACGCGAACGCGGACACCGGGGTGTGAAGGGTATATCGACATTTCGTCTCTAAGATCATAACAAATGTATATGGACACGCAAAATAAATAACATTATATTAAAACGGCACATCAATTTACTTAATTGTAATATCTAGAAAGAATGGCATGATAATTGAAAACTTACTATTTTACCTAATTTTATGAAAAATAATGTATTACTTGTTGAATATCCATCGAAATATTTCAGATAAAATCGTACATGTCTGAATTGTATAATACAGTTGTGAAGCCTGTGTATACATGTGTGATACTACCAAATACCTGAATGATAAAACATCTAGATTAAACGCAATTCCTTTTTACTTATTTTCTTGATAGTCCAAATTCATTTTTGAGTACAAGTACAAGTAACATGATTGCAGTAACCATCTTTTCAAAGAATTGTTCCACTAAAATTATAGATCAATCTTTCTGTTATAACACGTTAAAAGTTGAAACAGTTAACATAATAAAAATACTTTTTTCTACGTGTTTTTCTGTCAACAGGTGACAGTGCAAATACGGCGGCAGGTGATGAGAACATTTACAAAAACTTCCCGATGAATAGTCCCTTCAGAAATGCCATTCCACTGTCAAACCTTCTTCCATACGTCAAAGAAAATCTGGCAAACCATGACAGCTTTCCCAAAGAATTTCAGGTCATTTGATATTCTTTATAGGGAATTGAAACGTTTTTATTTTCATTCTAAGATTAATCCATTCGTTTCAAATAAGAAAAAAGCTCTTGATGAAGTTCTCGATTATTTTTGCCTTTTTTCAAAGGCTGGGTAAATGTACATGTGAATTTGTTGTATGCTCTTTTTATATTTCTCCATAGTTTATATTGTTTTTGTTTTGTTTTTGTTTTATTTTTCATCAGGAAATACCTTATGGAATGAAAAAAGCATCTAATGTTGCCAAAAAATCATATAACCGTGAAAAGAACAGATATAAAGACATGCATGCATGTAAGTGAAAAGTATAACATTGTTTCATATCAAATAATTCATGTATTGGTACTATCCAGTTAGCAGTCAGAAATTATAAACTTTCGACTTTATCGACCTTCCTACTGAGAAGCTGTGTTTGAAATTATAAACATGTAAAACTTAAGAATCTACTCAACCAGCAAAACTGTAAAGTTACCATATAATTTTTACAGTTTCTTATTAGATTAAATCAAATTAATTCTTATTTCAATTCCAAGCAGGGCAAGTTGATTTCAAATGTTTTTACTTGAATTTCGTTCATAACTTAAGATGTCTTTAGAGACATAGTCACATCGTTATAAAATATATGATAGCTAATTTTCTGTATGATTCAGCTTCTTAAAATCATGAGACACACTGGAAGCATTGCTACAATTTATTTTAATATTTTCAGGTTCCGATTTCAAAACTTAGTCTTTGTCTAGAGCTGCAATCTTTCTGATATATCTTTTAAAACATACAGAAGAAAATATTTTTTGTACATATTTTCAAAAAGGTATCATACTGCGAGGGCTGATCATAATGTTCGTGGAAAGCAAGGCTCGTAAAACATTTACAAGAGATATTTGTAAATATCCATGAATGATGTAAATGAATATTTTATACATGTAGTGGCAGAATGTCATTACAAAATAATGACTTTTGTAAATATTATAAAAATAACACATAATCAAGTACAGTTACAAGACGAAATACTTTGTTTATACAGATGATGAAACACGTGTTATGCTGAAAACACTACCAAAGGAACGAGGATCGGATTATATCAACGCGAGTTTCATCAAGGTGAGACTTTTTAACGTTTCAGATTGATAAAAGGTTTTGAAAAGATTGTCAATACACCGTTGAATATTTCATAAATGTATCGAAACAGTAACAAAATTACAAATAAAATCACTTTGGGTGGGACAGACATTTCTTTATAATGCTAAAAGATCAGGAAAAGGCAAATACTCGTACGGTGATAGAAATAGAAAAACAGTGTCATGTATTAAAAGGCAGTCATATTTTCTGTAAAACTCCAAAAATAATCACATTGAGTTACGCCAAAAATGCTCTGTATTAGTATGTGAAAACTTATTTCCAAATTTTAAACCAGATTTTTTTATTTGTTGAACAGGGACATCACAAAGACCGCGCTTATATTGCGGCACAAGGTAACAAAACATTTCAACACACTCTTACGAAAAATTTAGCAAGAATATGTTGTATTTTTTTTCGATGTGTAAAAAATTTTTTATAAAATATAGATTTTATTAAAAAAAGAAAGTTTTAAAATATGTGTTAAGTAATGAATATTTTGAATTATTCTTTTTTGAGAAAATCAGTCTAATATAATCATATATCAGCTTTTAAATGAAACAGTTTGTGATAAAACTTATGGAGGCATTAATGTGTTTATAGATAAACTTTCTGTTCGAATAATATTGTAACGGCCGGCGGGTGTCAGGCGAAAACACAAAACGCAACTAATATAAACGATTTGATCAAAAAGTTCTCAGTTTATTTAACATCTATCATGCGTTAATTAATACTTTATAAATATAGTAATAACGTTAAGCTCTCGTCTCTTATATAGATCTAAAGCGGAACTGTACATCACTCTGTAAATAAGTCTAGAAAATATAGACTGTTTATCAACAATAGTTATATGTTAAAGTTAATCATTTGTGGACACAGCTCAGGACAATTGTTTACCAGGGACTTACATGTACTAGATTTTATATTTGTATTTGCCGCTCTTAAGTTATTTACGTGTCTGAAAGCAGACGCAGATACTGACATCATCTTGAATCCAGCCAATATATAGGCTTCTGAGATGTGACCACGTGATTAAATTGACCAATGACTGAATGCCCGGTGAGGAAGGTGTGTTCCTAGTGACCAATCAGATTTGTACCGGTTGCCGTTCTCCAATGAAATTGCAGAACGGCGACTGGCAGGAATTCCAGGACACCGTTCCCTTCAACGGACGTTAAGTCAAACTTTATTACAAATCATGTTTAACATAAACAATATGATCAGTGCTTATACATCTAGAGTGATAGATTATTTCACAACAAATGTTTTGATGTATAATACTTCCAAAACTATGCAATACTTCTATTACAATCATGGAAAACTATTCGAAGTGTAGCGGTTTGCAGACGCTCAGATTGAACGGTAAAAATTCTCACTGTGTTTGAATGAAACAGTATTAAACTCACAATTATATATGCTATGTATTTAAATCTAATGCTAGCTGGATAAGTTTGAGAACATATTGGTTCTTAGATAGGTCCCTTAAACCTTATCTTAGTAAATATCACAGACTCGTAATTATTTCTGTGACAGTTAACAACAATAACAACCAAAATGGCTGCCTCCATGAAATTTACAGTGTTTGTTGAACAAAATCATAAAAATAAGAAGATAAGCAGTGCTTCAAGTTGAATGAAAGGACATTTTAGGTAGATAAATATCCAAAATTACTTACTCAATTGATAATATAAGTTTTTAACAACAAATCAACGAAATTAACAAGTTAATGAGACAAAAACATACATGTACAAAATATGGCAGTTTTTGATTTCTTTACAATATACACAAAGATCCGCGAGAAAGAAATAAGAGAAAATGTATGTTCGGATTGATTGCAATAGTAAATGTATGTTCCGCTAGATGACAACTAGCTAGATGTTAACGTATTTTTGAGCTTGATGATTGATTCTCATTAAGTCTTATTATTTCCAATACTTCAGGTATTAAGGATTAAATACAGTTTAAGCTGATGCCCGGGTGTAAGAGATGTGAAACCTTATATAATCTCTCATGCATATGGATCAAAACCATGTCTGCAATTTTTACTATCATTTACTTCTTTATTCATTGTTTTAGAGATATTTCATATATAACGAAATTTCACATGAACGTTAATGGAAGTACGGATCAAATTATACGGTAATATCTTTTCGGACGGAATCCACCAGTTAATGAAATACCGGTTTGATTTAAACGATATAAACGAAAAATGTAATTTCGACTTGACTTTAAAACATAACGGATGTTCAGGTTAATTGTATTTGGCTTGATTACGAAAGGTAATGTATTTTCTACTTATTTTTAAAGGTCAATGTATGTTTGGCTTTATTTCAAAGGTCAACGTAGGTTTTGCTTGGTTACAAACGTTAGTGTATTTTCTATTTAATTTCAAAGGTCAAGTTATGTTTGGCTTGATTTAATATGTAAACATATGTTCGGCTTGATTTCAAAGGTCAATGGATGTTTGGCGTAATTTAAATAGTAAACGTTTGTTTGACTTGACCTCAAATATCAACGTATCTTCGGCTTGATTACAAACGTTAATGTATGTTCAACTTAATTTCAAAATCAATGTATATTCTGTTTGATTTCATAAGTCAAGATATGTTTGCCTTGGTTTCATAGGTCAACGGATGTTCGGCTACATTCAAATGGTTAATGTTTGTTTGAATTGATTTCAAAAGTCAACGTATGCTCGGCTTGATTATAAACGTTAATGTGTGTTATACTTAATTTCAAAAGTCAAGGTGTGTTGATTTCATTAGTCAGAATATGTTCGGCTTAGTTTCAAAGGTCAACGGATGTTCGGCTTTATTTAAAATGGTAAACGTCTGTTTGACTTGATTACAAAAGTATGTTTGGCTTGATTACAAACATTAATGTGTGTTTTATTTAATTTTAAATGCCAAGGTATTTTCTGCTTTATTTCATAAGTAAAGATATATTCGGCTTTGTTTCAAAGATCAACGGATGTTCGCCTACATATAAATGGTTAATATTTGTTTGACTTGATTTTAGTGGTAACGTATGTGCGGCTTTGTTACAAACGTTAGTGTATGTTCTACTTAATTTCAAAAGTCAATGTATGTTCTGCTAGATTTCATAGGTCAAAATAAGTTTGGTTTGATTGCATAAGTTAATGTATGTTCGACTGGATTTCAAAGGTACAAGTATGTTCGGCTTGATTACAAAAGAAAAAGTAATAATTATTTTTCGCTTTATTCTAAAGGTCAGCTTATACTTGGCTGAATTTCAAATGTCGACGTGTGTCTTGCTTGATATGTTGGGCTAAATTTCAAAGGCCAACGGATGTACAGCTTGATTTTTAAGATCAATGCATGTTCGACACTTAATTTCATAGATCAATGTCTGTTCGTCTTGATTTCACAGGCCATTGTTTATTCGGTTTAATTTCGAATGTTAAAGTATTTTTGACTTGATTTTAAAAAACAACGTAATAACGGTGTCACGCCTAATTCAAAGATCAATGTATGTTCGGCTTTATTTCCAGGGTCAATGTATGTTCAGCTTTAATCATAACGGTAAATATTTGTTTGGCTTGATATATTTGGTAAATGCAAACTTGTAAACAATCAATGTTTCAATTTCAATTGAATCAAATGTGTGCGTTTCTGTGTCTATTTATTTTCAAATATCTAAAAATTATGTGTAAGGTCCTATTGATGCAAGCGTTGACGATTTTTGGAGAATGATCTGCGAGAAGGAAATCTTTACGATCGCCATGGTGACAAACCTTGTTGAGGAAGGAAAGGTATTCAATATTTTTGAAAATACTTAAACATAACCTGTCGGAACCAAATTTATTTCTTCAGAAATATCAGAAGCGCAGCACCTATTAGTAAGAATGATCTTTATAATACAGCACAAATATGAGTTACGATAGATAATGCCGTCGATGTTTTCATCTTACATACATTAGAAATGTGTTTTTATCAGACAAGTAGTATATTTTAAATGTTACTTTATAATATCTCAAAGCTATGTGTCTTTGCTTTTGTTTTTGTCTAGACAAAATGCCAGCAGTACTGGCCGGCTGTTCAAACCAGATTACGCTATGGTAAGACTTCAGTTTATACGGCGTCGGAAATCATCTACTCTGACTTTACAATCCGGAACTTCAATGTCTCGTATGAGGTATAGTGTATACATTTATTACAATGTTCATATAGACTACATTAACGATATATGAAATATAGTCGTTTTTATGACGGCCGGTGTAAAGAAAAACAATGCTATATTTGATTAAATGGTCAGTGAATGATCTAATTTATCTTAAACATAATTAATTATATACAACATATATCATTAGCACACATACTGAATTTTAAACATAGATAACTATATACATATACATTGAACATATTTGTGTAAGTTGATATACAAACAATTTTGTGAAAACCGTAAAATTGGTGTTCCTTTAAAATAAACAAATAAAAATTCGAGTAAAAGAATTTTATAGTAAAATGTTGTGAAGCATAGGCATACTAAATTGTATCAGATTTTGTTTGTAAAATTCTTCATAAAACGTGTGGAGTTGGGGATGGCGGTGGGTTAAAATGCAAAATTTACTTTGTTTAGAGTGTCCGGCCGCAAACATTACTGGTTTAAACCGGTTCGTTCTGGAAGCGGCGTGCTGATAAGGGTCAACGATTTTCATTGGCCGGCATTCTCTAAGGGATATTAACGATTTCCATTGGCCGACATTTCACTATCATTAAACCAATTTCTTCCAAAGTACTGGCTATGGATAGTGGACTTATTGCCGAGTCAATGTCATTTTCCCCATGCTGCAAGATAATTATTTGAGGTTTGTGAGTTCTTAGAAAATTGTGAAAACTTTCCTTGAAATGTTTCGTGCATCCCATAATGTCCTTATAATTATCACAAACTGAGAACCCACCAATTCCTTTTTGGAACAATAAGCACTTCTCCAAGTCATAATTTGAAGGAAGCAGTCGATGATTTATGTCGTACTGAAGCCGCCGTATAAAGCTATGGCCTAATACACCAACAGATATTTCCCGCATAATGTCAGAAGTTTACCTTCAATCTTTAAGAGTCTAGCACCTGTTATCCCGTTCCTTTCACCTGCTTACATAAAAATCGCTATGCAAAACATAGCTTATAAATATATGAATTGCCGTATTGTTTAAATTTGTTCTATGTTTGTGACTGTCAAACTGACTATTTGACTTACTCACTTACTGACTCATTCTCGTACTAGTTGGCTCATTGATTAGCTCACTTATTTGTCTAACTATCCATCGATAAAATAATTCATGTTTATGAATGAGTAAATCTTATGCATGCCTGAAATTATATTTATTAAATAATAAATAATCAATGACGGTATTGTTCTTCAAGGGAGGACCACAACGAAATATTCGTCAATTCCATTTTACATCATGGCCGGACAAAAGTGTTCCGAGGACTACATCATGCCTGCTTCAGTTCTGGAGAAAAGTGCGGAAGACTGACGAAAACAAATACCACACATGGCTTGTACACTGCAGGTAAGAAATTATTATTTGAAACATCTTTTATCACTTTTGCTATGTCGTTTAGGCTGAATATTAACCTAATGTATCACACATAATGACGGTTTGCCTATAAGACGAGCTGTAAATTATTCTTTAAAACGTGCTTCCATTGTGTCATAAGAACGTCTTTGCGCATACGGCATCAAATAAAAGCTGCTTATCCATAAACATTAATCGTTTGTTTAGTTATCAGGTAATGTGACTTTGATAAAAAAAGATGAATCCTCGTGTGGGGTACATTTCTATTTAATAATCATGTGTTAAGTGCTTGAGAAATTCGTATTTGCACAATCGGGTTTATTTGTTATTTTGTTTATAACATTAAACGCTTAATAGTGCTGGTGTTGGTCGAACTGGTACTTTCATTGCCCTGGACATTTTGTATGACCAAGGAAAAGACAAAGGGTCTGTTGATGTGTACCAATGTGTAAAAGACTTACGTGACCAACGGGTGAATATGGTTCAAACAAAGGTAATAATGATATTAATTATTTTCAAATTCCAGGGATGTTTTTATTTTATGTACTTAAACATCCGGCAGCCAAATGATTGCTGCGCAAAATGTTGGTTGAAGTTTATGTTTTAGCTAAAACAGGATGAAATTCTAGAAATATCAAATACACGGTCAAATTTATTGACATTTTCCGATCCATAAACTGCAATAAATTACTGTGTTATGTTTTGTTTTCTTTACTCATTGGATATGTGTGAATTATATCTTAAATTCATAATTAGTTTGATATCTGATCTCAATATTTATAAAAACAAGTGCTAATGTCAGCACTATGTCTTTGTAATATCAAGTAACAGCATGTAATATTTACGTGCAAAAACTAGCGCTCGTGACTACACTTACATTGTATTTTTCTGTATTACTTCAGGATCAGTATGTTTTTCTTCACAACTTGATGGTCGAAGCTCTTCTTTTCTTCTCAGAACCGATTCCATTGGACAAATTACACAAAGCTGTAAAAGATCTAAAGACAGTGGATCAGGCAACAAAGAAATCAAAACACCTGCTTCTATACGAGGTTTTTCTGACTAAATAATTAATCCTGCTTAAATCTTACAAACATCAAAAATACACACCAATTCGTTATATTTTTTATAATTATAATAGAAATAATAATAATGATAATGATAACAATACAAATAACAATAATAATAATTATAATTATTATTATCATTATTATAATTTAAGTTAAAAGTATATACATGGAAGTGCATGGTTAATAGTTACCTTGTTTACAGCTAGACTGTTCCAAGGTTTTTGGTAAACATATAATGGCTCTCTAACAAAATGAATGTAATAATAAAAGTAAAAATGAAAATATAAAGACTGCATAGCGTTACAAAATAGAAAATGATACAGGCTTAGTTTGGCTGAGACTTTTTGTGGACGGTAATTCCAAGCTACAATACAAACTGTATCTAGCATTGGCTTCGGCAGGAATCAACATTTCTTCCCATAAAATGTGGAGCCTTATTTTAAATGTGGAAGTTGTACTTCAGAGAGTGCTGATATTTGTATTGTCCTTGGAATCATTTATCCAAGCAATTAAGTGTTGAAAGTGAATTACGCTTCAGCCGGTGCTAGATGAACAGACTCAATCAAACCGATTCTGCAGATTTCAAATTATATTGTTGCATTTTGTGCTTTCAAGTGATCAATTATTTTAAGATTTTCATTAAATGCTGTCAAACAACTTTTTTATAATGCATTGTACTGCCTTTATTGATATGTTTTACATTGTCCCTAAATGAATTTCTGTTCAATTGGTCTATGTGGTCACATATTTTTATCTTGTTATCAATCTAAGGCATTGAAAGAAGATATGACTGTCCTTCGAACTGACAAAGCAGTCAAAGAAATGAATTCAGCAGCTTTGCTGAAAGACAATAGAAGCAAGAATAGGTTTAGCACAGTTCTTGCAGGTAAGCTTTTTTTATGAACAATGCAAATTTGAAGACTTATTCTTTGAATTTAAAGAAGAACAGCAGTATTTAGATTAATACATTTATATAAGATTTATAATAAATACATTATATCTAACTCAAGAGTTAAATGTTACTCATGCAAAACCAAATTTAAGATGCCTTGGAATGGACAAGTTATGGAATATATTAGTTTATCTTAACTTGTATGTCTTCGCGCGTTTTTTTAATTGAAGTACTTTACAAATGACGTTTAGATTCCGACTAAAGCAATCAAGCAACTCGGGATTTTGTGCAAGTTGTTTCTTCTTTAATTCTATATATTCGTCAACTTTTGACTAGTTGTACTTATTCTTCTGATTATTTGAACTATGTTATTGAAAAATGACTATACACATTAAATCACTTACAATTATGTTTATTGTAGTTAACTTGAATTTAAATTTTATATTAGTCATAAAAATAAGTTAATGCTAATACGTTATACTTTAATTTCAGGAAATGAATTTCGGCCTATCCTTGTAACCCACTTTTCCGGACGTACAAATTACATCAATGCAGTGTTTATGCCGGTACGTTAATGTTACAAATCAAAAAACAGAAACTCAATTTTAAAATAATTTAAAACTTATAAATACAAATGTTATGACCAAGAGATAGTCCTTACTAAGACAAGTTAACACGTTTTGTTAAACATTTAGAAAAGTTTATTGTCATGTGGCAACATAACCAATCAAGATGCAGATTGTCGATGTCAATCAAATGTTTACGGAAATTGCAAAACTCATTAAGAATTAAAAATTTCTTAATTGTTCATTTCATGCATATTAGAGCTACTGCCACAAAGAAGGCTATTACGTCACACAAAAACCACTGGACAATACTGCAATCGACTTCTGTCGTCTACTTTATGAAAAGAATGTCAAGGTCATAGTTAAATTTCCTGACAACGAAAAAGATCATGTAAGTATACTTTTACTAAACATTGAGTGTAATACTGATGAACTTTGGAATATTCAAGCATTTTAATGTTGTAACTCGCTATCATCATCACACATAAAAAAAAACATTTTGTAACACGGTTTTCCTGTTGTGTTGTTATTCTATTTGTTTATCAAAATCAATACCATACTTGAGGTTCATGTGATCCTCGACTTTTATTTTCATGTTGTTTAATCTCTCATTTTTCTGCTGAATTCTACAAAATGAAATAAATATGACACGTTTTTTTTGGAGAAACGGTTTTAAAATAACTTTTCTGTAGTGCTTTATCCCGCGAGTATCTGCAAACGCCTTCATCTCAATCAAATAAATCTAAAAATGTTTTTTTTTTTTTTTTTGCACAATGAGTTTTTTTTTTCTTTCTTTTTTTTCATGCTTTTTTGTGAATCTATTCAATTGAAGTGATACTCGAAAATTTTGAAGCACACTAATGAAGATTTTTCTTATAATTTCTTACGATGTCAGTTCCTTGTAATTTATTCAATTCTCGGAAACGCATAAATACAGTTTATACAATAACAGTTGAGTAGCTGTATGCGTACAATTCTAGTGCATGAAAGCATAATAACTGACTGTTCACAAGCTTGGTAAAGCGTCAGTTGTTTTGTAACTCTCTTTAATAATCTCACTTATATTGCAACGAATGAATCTAGAACGTGTTACCATCATGTGAAGAAAATTCAAAGGAGGAACACATTTGTATCAAAGTAGGCAGTATATTGAATATCCTAGGAATTACTTAAGATAACTTGCTTGAAATGTTTTTTAAGTACATTGGAGCTTTAAAATTTGATATATTAATTTCTTTACCAAATCCGCTTTCCTCATAGTAGTATTTAAAACGAATATTCAAGATCATTGGCGAGAAATTGCATAATAAAGTTAAGAATGAGTGTTTAACCAAGGCACTCCCTATAGCTTGTGCATTGCCTTAAAAAGCCTTTGAAAGTTTTGCCTTAGCTTTGAATTTTGTACCATATATAATTGCTGAGATTTTGCTTGATATGTGCTAAGTTGTGATTCACATGTGTTTTTTTATATTTGTTTTTGTGTCAAAACATAAGACATTGGTGCATCATTTTATTAACCTTTAATTAGTTTATAATATAATGAACAATTATTTACATGTATATTAAAAAATCGTACTTTTTAGACAGGCGTTATTGAACCAGCGATCTTTTTTTGCTCTGTCAAAAGTTTGCAATATATTCTTTGTGCTGATTGTTGTCAATTAAAGTGACAAAACGCTCACGTTTTCGTTGTCAGGTTAAGCTGAATTGGCTAATATATTTCAAAAGATTGACCGTCTAGCTTATTTCAAATGGATGATATACATAACAAATACAAATGTGAAAGCATAAATGAAAACCTGTGGCAATAATTATATTATTCTTCGTTTGCAATTGTATTCTGTCTTTTTTAATATACATCTTAGATATGTTTTGTTGATTAAATTGAGATATATAGCTTATTTTAAATCTAAAATTTAGGTCGGAGTAGATATGTCAGTGGGACCATTCATGTTGAAGAAAAAGTCAGAAGAAGACAAAGTTTTCTACACAAAAACGGTGTTCAACATGGCGTATAAATCCAAGGTACTTTATTTTAAAAAAATATGTAATTATGAGCTTGTGTGTGAAATCAATATTGTAAGAAATCACATGTGATAAAAGTATATGGACTTGACATACTAGTATCACCTTGATTTGCTGCAGGTTATTTTCTAAAAAAAAATCTTATATTAATAACAAAGCACATTTGATATATTTTGACAATCGTAAAGAGATTGTATATCAAATTGATTCATCCATAAATACTTATCTCTTTTGCATCAACAAACGATCAGTATTTTTATTGATAATGTCATAGACATTTTGTCGTTTTAGGATATCAAAATTACTCAGCTTGAGTTCAAGAATTGGGACGCCGACCAAATCACTCCAGATGATCCCGAAAACATGCTACACTTCATGCATGAAGTAGAACTTCTCAACAGAATCGCATACGACAGTCCTGTCCTTGTTCAATGTTTGTATGTATGGATTTGCCAGTCGTTTATGTTTTGATGTTGACTAAAAGATAAATTATTAAATTATTTATTTCCATCCTTAAACATATACAAAAACAAACTCAAATTCAATAGTCAGAGGTGACTTCTTACCGACATCAAATCATAATTTATGCTCGTTATTAGCAAAGAAAATATATAAAATTTATACCTTTTCTGCATTCAAACTTTTTACTTCATTTCTAACAAAACCAAAAAGAAAAATAATACTAATGAAGCTCCGGATAAATACGCCGAAAAGTACCATTTTTGGACCTAGAAATAAAGAAAGCACAAAGAAAAGTGCATTATGCCAACGCCTTCCCTAAAAAATCGGCTGATTTTTTAGTGTTTAGTGAGGTGATGCTTCGCCCCTAATAACAGTATTGTTGTTTTAAAAATAATATTGAAATAGCAATTTTCTGAAAATTAAATCGTTTGTTGAAAGAGCCATAACTCATATTGGTTTTCTTATTATATTAATTATTATAAGATCTGAAATTTTACCTCATATGACACAAGGACTGGCATGTTCAATGAAACAGAGTCGAGCGTTGTAATCTATCAAGATCTTTTTCGTGACAAGCATAATACAAGTTAATATATTGAACAGTAAATTCTGTAGTAGATTTTACAATTTCATATAATTGGTAATACACTTTTCACATAAAAATACTAAATTATAGATACGGATTTCTTTCATTAGGGATGGATCAGAAAAGAGTGGCCTGTTCGTGACATTGATGAACATATTTGAACGTGCCAAACTTGACAACGAAGTGTCCATTCCACAAGTTATTAGGGAACTCAGATATATTCGTCAGCAAATAATCCCAAACTTTGTAAGTTATTGTTTCTTATATAGTCAAAAAGTTTATAACGTAAGCTAGGGAATTATTAAGCACAACATGTAAATTAACTTATAAAACTAAAAATCTACTAAATGTAAGCCTAGGGAAAAGACAACGGCTTTGATAGGGTTTCATGTCATAAAATACCATACCAGTTCATGTGTTCCGATATATAATTGTATCAATAAATTGTTTCATGATTTTCCTTTAGCACCTTCTTATCAAAATAATAATCTGATTTAACTTTTAAAAAGGCATTATTTCTTAACGTCAAATAAATAAGGATAAAATACTTTTTAAATTGTTCAAACTTTTCATTGCATTTTGATTTAGTGATAATCAGCAACGTTTACCGATACAAAATTAACCTATTGTAAAAAATGTAAACGATAAAGAAGTCCCAACTATTTATACAATGTATCTTATTTTTGAAAAAGTACATATGTCACTATTACATGCAATTTTTTTTCTATATTTTAGGAACAGTTCCAATTCTGTTATGATGCAGTCCTTCGCTACGTTGATAGTCATCAAATGTACGCAAATATGTAAAACCATTGAAACAATGGTCCACGAAGACATTGTTTATGTAACATTTTCTCAAATATACTTACGAAATATCGTGTTCTTTCTTAAGGATTCTATTTTTCTCTATTTATATAAAGATTTTTGTAATAGAATATATTTGATGAATCTCTACAGCCAAGGAAATGAAAGTTTCTTTTTCATCAAAAGTGAAATGTGTATATTGTACATTATTAAGTGAGATGTATAATAAAGAAACGCATGAAGAGTAATACATGCAAATAAAGTATCAGAATTCTTTAAAGATAAGTAATATGGTCGATCAATCTGAAGCCTGTACGTAGATACTGTATGCATGTGCGTAAAAGTTGTATTATTTGTATATACTTTGTCTTATTTGTATATAATTTTTCTAGAAAATATATATTAATATGTACTTGCATGAACAGAGCAATATCTATTCACACGACTTCAAACTGGGATATTTATATATGTGTGGCAAAATTGATAGTGTGATCATATGCACTACTATTTAAAACAAATAATTCAATAGTTACATTCCATGATGTATAAATTTATTAATAATATTTGTGTAGTTTGTTCATCTTAATAATGTTCCTTTTACTTTTTAAACTGAACTCTTATATATACATGTATATCCTATTTACTTCTGAGCACATAAGAACAATAAGTACATCGTTATCATTTAAAGTACACATGTACTCGAAACATTAAAATGTAATATTTTCATTTGTTTGTTGAGGTTTTCATGCACTTGGTTTCAAGTATTCAAATTCATTGTGCTCTTGTTAATACAAATATTTACATATGTACTTCTATATTTTTAAGAGGCGCCTAAAGGTTAGAAAAAAATACAAGTCACGATATTCAGGTTTAGTGCATCATTTAAATGACTACAATAATTACACATATAACATATTAACATTTTTTTTTTGATCAGGCATGAATTGTGTAAACTTTCATGATAAGTTTTTACATGTTATATCAAGGACAAGTTCATTAATTATTTGTATTATACAATTATTTCATAAATATATATTTTGCATTTTCAAACTGTCATGTTATTAGGTGTTATTAGGTGAATAGTTATATTGTTTTAATATTAAACGTTTAAAACATTTTTAATTATAACATAGTTTGGATTTTATGCAAATGAGAAGCATTGTATTTCATATCATCGAATAATAATTTTTTCAGCGTCAGAATACAGTAGTGCACTTTATTTTTGCTTTGTATGCAATTACTTAAATAAAATCTTTCATTTAATGTAAATTAACGATATATTTTTGACAATACAGGAGAAAATAGTTCTTTTTTTCTATTATATGCCTATATTATTCTGAATATATTCTTTCATTACTTTGTATATAGAAATATTTTTTTAATATGTCTCATTTAAACTTGAAATAATATTTGAAATCTAGTCAGTGGTTTTTGAAGTTTATATCTTGTATCCTAATAAACACCAGCCACATATTTTGAGAAATGAAAAAATACCATATAGCGCATCTAACATTAAATAAAATTTGAGTTTAAAACATTAATCCAAATTTTCCACTAATTTTCAAAAATATATATCACAATAATAACTTAGCTCAACGTCCTCCAAACCCTATGAAGTCATATTACACATGTTTTGTATTCATTAAACTGAAAAAGGCGTTCTTAATGTAGTGTATTGGGCTCGATCAGGTTTCACGATATTAAAATGCTAATTAACCAAATATCATCATCTTTGGTACATGAACAAGAATAGAAATTTACCAGTTTAAAACAGAGAAAATGTGTCTTAAATATAATCATTTCATTACATTTTCCAATACACGTTTACGTCAAATGTGTGGCTTCAGCGTTGTTACATATATCTGGCTCTCCCAGCACATTTTGTGTCGAAGATTAAATACCGATAAAGCAGATGTTTGGGAACGTGAGAGATGATGCACTTAACATTATCTATATAAAAAAAGATTCAATCAAACCTAGAACTCTGCAATTTTGTTATAATTTTGATGTTTCCGATGCTTCCAAAGGATTTTTAACCTTTTCCAGCTTTGAGATTCGTGGGTGGCATGTTTAATCACTTAGTAATTGTGTTGAATATCGAAAGGTCTAAAAGGTGTTTGTACTTTTAAATATTATCTAGTTAATTTTGCTTCAATATATGTTTTTAAATCTCAAAATATGTGGTTTGGGCTATAAGTTTTCTTGAGTGTATCATTATCTTCTTATCGATAAAATATTCTACTGATTTCATCCATATGTCAATTATAAGACAGTTATTTAATAAATTTCCAATTTCAGCTGCCAGCAAGTGTTAAAATTGTAAATAATATTTTGTCCTATGTAATATGAGTGCTTAATTGTCAGAAAGCCGGACTTAAAATGTTATTTATCAAATATAAGCTGTAAACATATTGATATATTCTTATAACCCGTCACTATTCTATTCATATTACCTTTTAGAATTATGCTGTTTTTAATAATATTTATTTTTGTTATTCCAAACTTCATTAAAGATATACTGTGCTCAAATTTGATGTTTGAAAATATTGATAACTTCTACACAGCCTCTTTGTAAATATAAAATAAACATGATTCGGCTTCATTCAAGGTAGATAAGTTATGATTCAAACTCGATATACTATAAGTGGTCACAATATGAATATATAGTGTCATTAAAAAAACTGGCAGTCTTTTTAAGAAAAGACCAACTTCACTTGACCTTTAATAGGGAATGCAGCTTTCAATACAAAATTTGAACATGTTTTTACTCAAATTAAAATAATTCAGTAACTGTGATAAGAAATATTTTACTCAAAGATGAGCATAGTATATCTTTAACAGGCTCAAGCAAACCGAATATGCAACATTTTTAATTTTGCTGTGTTTCTCTTTAGGGATTCTGTTTTTTTTCTATTTCAAAGCGACGCCTTGATTCCATACATTTGTTCCAGTAACGCTTCTGTATAATAAATCTTTTAAAACGAAAGAAGGTGTCTTTTATCTTTCAAGAAACATATTAATCAAACAATGGCGTTTCTGAAATGAATATTAGAACGTTGTTTGAAATTCAATATATAGATATAATTCATTTAACTTTATAATACCATCTTCACAAATATTCTTGAGACAAACGCTTGAATATTATTTATCATTTATTCATTAAGGACGATACATGTGTAGCCGTACGGATACTAATATTCTCTGTTTCAACCAAATTATAGAATTTACTATAATACACAAACAATTCCTGTGTCTTCCATGAAGTATGAATTATAGCATGAAATGATTTAAAAAAAATTAATCACGAACTTCAAAATTATTTTTAATTCATTGAGATAAGGTTCAATGATATACTTATTGATAGTTCTTTAGATGCGAGGACATATACACATGTATACTCATGATAGGTAGCTACCATCATAAAAACGAACTGTTAACAATTCCATATTGATATTTACTATATAATTGACATTAAAAACAGTTTTTCCTAAATAACATTTAATTTTAACAGATGGTAAGTTATTGTGGTGACACTGAATCTGTGTCTATTTAAACACGGTTTACATTCTTCTCATAGCATAGAGATAAGACACTCTAGTGCATCATTACACGATATATATACACAGCATATATATGCAATATGACGTCAAAAATGACGTTAATAAACCAAATGTTAGGAACGTCAGCAAAATTACTTCTACGCTGAATGTAGTTCAACATTTTCAACAATTCTCTTTTCTCTTTGCGAATTAGATTTGAATTAGATATTAGTTTTTCATGCATGATAATATTTTTATGCCGGTTTATCGTAAAATGCTTTTTAATTACTGATTCAGGCATATTTGCCTTAATGATTATAATAACGCGCATTTGAATTCAAGTCGTGCTTTATTCTACAACAATGCACTCAAAAAAGATATCAATAACCTAAATAAATCATTGGCAGGCCCTTAATAACATTGGTCCGAAGCAAACGTTTTTACTAAACTTGAAAAAAAAATATGTATGCCTGTACGGTAGCTTGTACTTACCACTTCTGCCTATAAACAAGCTGGGTTAAACCAAGTCTGCAACATTTTTAATTGGGTCGATTTCGGCATTCTGTATTGGATCTGTTGATTTCGTCCTGTTTTAATCCATTTTAAGCAGTTTTTCATAAAACTAAATTTAAGGGTTATTGTTAGACGAGACGTATTTCAATTATTCGAGAATTTACCAGTAAGCAAAAAAGATAATTAATTAGTTAACTTATTACAATAATCAGAAGATGTACAGAAGAACATGCTTATAAAAGCAGCATTTTAATCCGATATGAGTCAAAAGGAAACAGATGCACCCGAAAAATTGGCTTTTAGGTGGCAAAATTGGTATAATTCTGAGCACTTTTATGAAAAGGTTTAAAAAAAAAGTACAAAAATACAGATGGGCTGACTGTCAGTTAGAAAAATTAGAAATTCGTTGCAGTCTGATTATTTTGGACATATAAAACAGACTCCATAGAATGTAAAAAAGAATAATGTAAAGTTTGCACAGCACGACGTTTTAAACGAGGAATAATGGGCCTTTAACACCAGGTTGTTTTTCTTTCGTTTTTTTCTTGGTATTTAAGCATAGACATTTAACGTTCTGTCAATTTGAAAACCCTTGGAAAACCCATCAAGCTTTTAAATAAAAACACTTAATAAAAGTTAATGTTCTATGCAAAATGCTTCAAAAACAACAAAATAAAACTAATGTATTAAAGAACGCACGCGCCAATATCGTCTCTTTAGTTACTAATGAGATTTCGGAAAGTAATCACGATTTATTTAATGACAAACACTATAAGTACAAAAGGAAAAAATAAGTGTGTTCTTTGCTAGAAGTAGGCTAGTGTAAAGACGTGTCCCTGCTCTTTGAACACACTCAAGTTTATCCCTGAACGCTTTTGTTAAGAAAATGTTATTATCATGTATTCCCACTTCAAATTTCGAACTCAAGTCAAGCACACTTATATTGCAGACGTTTCCACTATCAGAGTTTGACTACCGAAGTACTTACCGGATTTGTAACTGTTGACACGATAATCGCGTGTTTAACTTCAATCAAAAATAATTCAGTTCAGTAATAATATGGTTAAAATAATGTGAAAAGGAATTGATGTTTTCGCATTATTTGTTCAACGTTATAGGTCGGACTACAAGTTATTAACATATAAACCTTTTGTAACACTTCTTAATCTTTTTTATTGCGATGAAACGATAATAATTTGTTTAGAAGTTAATTGGTTAGTTTAAAGCACACATTTTTTTCACCGGGAACTATTAATTGACACCTGTTGTTTCTGTTGTAAAGCCTAACGACAATAATCAGAATTGTCCTTATATGTTTACTTGTAACAGCTCTCTTGGTATTAAGAATATCTGATGATTCATGAAAACGTTCAACTATTGCGAAATTTTGCTCTTGTGTTATTTTAAATGAATCATCTGTCTATTAGTTATATACATGTAAATGAGTATTAAAAGGCCAAAATGAAGTATTTTTTATTAGTTATGGATGAAGAGAGAGAGAGAGAGAAAGAGAGAGAGAGAGAGAGGGAGAGAGAGAGGGAGAGAGGGGGGGGAGAGAGAGAGAGAGTATTGACCTTTGTTTGTTTGTTTTGGGTTTTACGTCACATCGACACAGTATAGGTCATATCGTGATGTTCCAGCCTTACTGGTGATGAAGACCTCAGGTGCCCTTCCGTGCATTATATGTATTAAAAAAATGAAACGACATCATAATTTACAATTATTTATTCCTCAAAATAATCACCGATGCCAAGACATTAAATTAAAATATAAAATACATAATAACAGACTGGACAAGTAACTCGGTAAATAAATAATTATGTTTCACCAGGTGTATTAACATTCGGAAAATAAGATGCATGCATGTTTGTGTAGCTAGTTTTAAAACTGACGAATTGACTTTTCTTTGACTTAAGTCAGTATTTTTCTTTATGTTATTTTATAAGGAAAGAGAGAGGGGAAATACAAAATAACACATTTTTTTCATAGCATACACCTTTGATGAAGATTGTCGGGCACTATTTGTCCAATGGCTGCATAAAATATTAAGTATTCCTGATAATCGGAAAAAAACATAAAGCATTCGATAACAAAAAATTCAGCTCATTGCTCCGGCAACGAAGTATCGTTTGAAACATATGCATGGTGAAAATTCTTCTTAGACAGAGATGAAAATAAATGCTTTGAAAGCACTGCAAAAGCTGAATTATAATTCTAGAAAGGACAGTACGGTATGCAGCGTTTAAATATTATGATATGAAAATAATCATAAAATTTTAGGGAGTCCTTTAGCTTTCAAGAGACACTTGAATTCAAAAGGGAGTTACCTAGGACAGCAAATAACCATTATAACATGACAATTATCTCCCTTAAGTTGTAATAAACTACAAAATTTCGTATAATGCAATTTATTAGGACAGAAAAGCTAGAAAACAAAACAGAATACCTTAAGAACTTCAAAAAACCCGAAAATTAAAAATGTAAAGTAAAGAATACCACATTTTTTTATTAAAACTATTAACTAAGATTTAAATGTTTTGGGAGTATATGTCTCTCGGCTGTATTTTGAAGAAAAAAAACGTGCAAGAACTTGCCAGTACACAAGTCAATCAAATTGAACAAGTGTCCCGGCATTTAATAAAATATGAACAATGCAAACAGTACTTTGTCACTTACAAACCACGTACAAAATCTAGAAATGCTTGCATAATATACAGTTAATGAAATCAGGTGAAACTCCGTAGAAAGATGTGGCTAAGATAAAACTTGCACCCAGTAATGTTCTGATCATAAGCATGAGCATTACATAATCTCCTAGATATGTCTGGGGCGTATTACGATCGTATCTTATAAAAAAATAACTCGACTTACATTTTAGGACATGGCAAATAAGCACTTCCATTTATCACAATAAGCCCATGTTTGAACTATTCATCCTTTCCTTTGGCCTTTTCTTAAGCTAAGAATTATTTCATTGCGAAATTTAACGCGCGGGGTGAATCCAGACCAAATGCAGCTATTTGTATAGTGTATTTAAAGTTCATGAATAAGATATTTTAATGTTTTACTAGAAAGGATGTGCTGTCTTGACAAAAATCATTCCAACAACAATTTTTGACAACCACATTTGACATGAGATTTTATGTCTAATATATCTTAAATATTCGTTACTATCGGAAAACTTACAAGATTGAGCTATTCATTGTTATAGTACTTTTTACTTCCACTATGAATTTTATCTGATGGCACTGTAACAGTGCTTTCGAATTTTTTGTGGTTGAGCTTTATGCTTTTCTTCATCACGAACAGGAATTCCAATGCCATTACATATTCTATCAAAAGTATCTAGAAGCATTTGACATTTTTTGCGATTTTTAGCAGCAAATATAAATTTGTCCAAAAACGTATCAATATTGTTAGGTCTTGTTGTTTTTAAACGGACATTTACTAAAAATGTAAATACTCAAACAATGAGAAAGGCATTGATGCTCCTTGTGGCAAAGTCTTTCTTTCATATAAATTCATTCTTAGATGGAAGCGGCCTTATAAAATAATAAATGTGTTTGCCATAAGATATTTATAATAAGAAAAATTAATAGTGAACGAGTCAGCTAACTGCGTTAAAAGTAGCTATAAATAGCTCGCCGATATGGTGATAAGTGTGATGACGTCACAAAAAGTAAAAAATAACTTAAATATAAAAGACTTAATAGCACAAAAAAACGCAACCGCCGCTATGATGTTTCGGTTAGCATACTGAATCGGCAATCCAAAGAACCCTTGGTTCGAGTCCCGGCTTCGGCATACCGATTTTACGTGTGATTTTTTCAAGTACAACCGTCAAGTATGAACATTGTTTCCAGATTTTTATAATCGTAATTTACTTTGTTAACTTAAACATATCATTGTTTAATGGTGTATTGCTTAAAGT